CGTTGTATTTTTCCACTACTCAAGGAAATTCTCTTCAGAAGCAAACAGCATGAGTGATTAATGTATGAACTATGAAGATGCTTGCAAAACTTCTCTTTAGATGAAAGCAAGTTCAGGCTAAATTTCAAGGCTTTTTTTTCCACTATGGTTTAGTAAAGAGATGATTTAGATGTCTAGAACAGAAATGTGCTAGACTGTGATAGATAAAAGATCAAGAAAGACGTTTTTGTGAATATTACCAATTATTGTGTGCTAACAAGCTCTTAGAAACCTTCCCAGAAACAGCTGAAATTTTCGTAACTCAGAGGCAAGGATCATCATAGCTACAGCTGACTTTTAACAAACTTTTTGATACACGGAACCCAAACCCATCTCTTTAGATTCTCCAGCCACGCTGGTTATAGCACATTTAGTCTAAAAGGCAGGGGATGCACTCCGTGTAAAAGAGTTCAGATGACCACATCCACTATTTTTAACGAATGAGGGTGATTTTGTAAAGGGGAACAAGGTGACAGTGGAAACAAATCCTACAGTTGCAGCAAGTCCTTAAATGTGTTGACAGAAGCGACTATTACGATCCTTACCGTTAGGAGGATTTTCATCTACAATAATCGTAACACTCTGAGAAGGCTCTTAGATAACCCGTAATGGCAACTACCACAAGGTAGACGTGCAAAAAAGCAAGCTTGAGTATACGTGCTCAAGCTCCTTTGAGCAGGAGAGGAAACCAATCTGTCCATCCAGAGCGCCACGGAAGCCCAGAACGGATGATACAACACATCACAGAAACAGGCAGTAAGATGAGATAGTAAAACCCCATCAACATGCATCATCTGATCAGGCTACGGTGTCATCTCCCAGCCTCTATCAGCTCTTGCCGCGTCAGTGCGAGTCCCAGACACTCCATCCTGTTCATAATTGCTGATGAGCAGTAATGAGGCCGCCATGCCTCAGCTCCCGCCCGTTCCACTCCAGCACCCACCTATGAGGTGATAACTTTTATTTACAGCCTCGCTTGCTGCGCTGTTCTATGAGTACAGCTGGAAACGGAGCGGGGGGGCGGTGGGGAAGAAGCGTGTCCCTAATGGGCACTATTATTGCCAGGGCTGGGTGATTTATTAGGCTGCTAAGAGGCTGTTCTATCACCAGTTTCCTGGCGGTGAGAGAGCTCCAAGAAAGCTGGATTTCTAACACAATGCCCTCCAGAAGTCAAGCGCTAAAGAACACCTTAGAAGTCCCTTGGAACACCAATGAAAAACGTACCTCAAAGTTGTTTCAATGTTATAAACTCCCTTCAATAATCTTTTCTATACTTTTTGATCAGGAGCCTAACACTTCCGAGCAATTAAAAAAAAAAAAAAAAATCTAATTAGCGGTGTACCAGGTCGTTTTGTCCTTACTCAACACAAAGATTGATTAAAAAATGATCATACAAACATAATAATTTCTCGGGTTTGTTTCTGGCTAAAAATTTGTGTACAATCTATTTCCACCACCTGTCCTTTCTACAGCTCCTAAAAGGCTGTCCTCTCGATTGTACAGGTTCAACCTCGAAGCATTAGAAGTGCTCAAGGCCAGGCTGGACGGGGCTCTGAGGAACCCGGTCTCATGGGAGGTGTCCCTGCCACGGCAGGGGGTTGGAACTAGGAGGTCTTTGAGGTCCCTTCCAACCCAAACCATCCTCCGATTCTGGCACGGCTACGATCAAGCACATGCCTTCGTTAAGATCATCAACAAACCCTAAACTTCAAAAAGGGCCATACACCCGCTTAACTGCTTTGTTCAAGCAGAGGAAGAACTATTTGCATCTTCCAGACTCAAACTTTAAAGTAGAAAAAGCACAGAGCAACGAGGCAGATGCTGTGCACGGGTACAATACAAATACTACCACATCCACCTAGGACAGATGTCCTCATAAAACGTGACATGTGCAGAGAGCTCACGATACAAAAGACTAAAGATGCACGTTTCTCATGAACTGCTACTGAGAAATAAAGTACTTAAAAACCTCACCGACTTTATGGATCTACTGCATGAATTGATTGTATCATTACCGCACTTTATCAGCCAGTTTCTGCTACCTTCTCTGCTGCACAATTAAAAATTAACTGAGTGCACTCACACAGTTCCACCGATTTTTTTTTTTTTTCCAGGTTTCTTTAAGCTGCCTGAAAATGTTTCAAAGTCTGGCTGTTTAGAATTGCGTCTTAAATCATCATTAAAGTTATACAGCAGAAAAAGAAGAGTAATATGCCACTTTTACTGCACTTCCACAACACCGGCACCCAATATAAATGGTATCTGGATGCCCTACTGACTAGAGCAAGCCTCCCAGTACCTGCCATCAATTGTAACATTACCTAGGCATTAAGAAACAAATCAAAATATAATAAGCTATACACTAGGCCACACGGTCCCATCTTATTTCCTACAAAATCTTCAAACCGCTGGCTCTCAAAAACCTTTGAGGCATCATCCAGCCTAACGATTGCAAGGCTTTATTCATTCTTTTCATTATATTCCTTGTCCTATGGGCACACTTTGGAATAGAAATCCTTTTTACCAGAGCGATGATTCTGGCAAACAGGAGGAGGGGGAAAAAAAAAAAACCACCCCACCCACTATTTGGTGTCATAATACAATTTTTTATCTGACAGCTCCTCCAGCACGCAAGCTGACAAGTGCATGAGGTAAAAACTCTTTTTTTTGTGTAAGAGAACTCTTCCTGTGTCTTGGCAGATTTATTGTTTTGATCTTTCTTCAATGGTTACACTAATGCTAATAAAATATGAAAGGTTTATGTCTTCCTTAATGTCCTCCTGATGGGAACCTGCATACAACATAAGTAGGTCAAATTTCTAATTTTCTGTCTCGAATGCTGATATAATGGCAGACTTAAGGGAAAAACTGCGCCTGAAGGGGGAAAAAAATTACACAGATGAATTCCACCAAAACATTCTTCCTTCAAAGCTCTTCCAAGCAGAAGAAATGTAGAATACTTACAGAAAAGAGGATTATACGCAACATGTAGTATTGACAAATATTGCATGTATCACTTAAATAGCTTCCTAGGAAGGGACACTAAGCTGAAGTGAATGTAGTGTGAAATATTCACATACACACTCTGCTGCTTATGCCTGAAGATGTCACACCATTTCTGGGCAATATTTGGTAGCCAATGTTTTCTGTCAATTCCCATATTTATCTGGATTCCCAAATGCAGACTTTGAAAACATGGTAATTTATTTTAAAAACTAAAGCTTGCTGAAAATTCAAGCTTTGAGAAGAAAACTGTAACTCCTGGTAACAGGTTTATTAGTGTAAGGGACTACAAACAGAATGTGCAGATCACTGAGCAAATAATGTAAAAAACACTGCGGGAAATCGAGGTAATATAACATCATTAGGTTTAGTTGCCTGAAGATGAAACTTGTGGCATCAAATTAAAAAGATCTCCTTATTTTCTTGCTAAACGCACCACATGATTAACATACAAACACGTAGGGACCAAACAGAAAATAAGAGAACTACCAAGAAAAGTTAGCCAACCATTCAATGGGTATTTTTCAACGCATCTAGTAGCTTCATCTGCTTTATTCTAAGGAACTTTTACATTTGACACTCCAAATTGCAGACACAGTTGCCTTTTTGCTAATCACAAGTACATCTTTTTAAAATATTCATACAGCACTCTCAGTTTTCAGTATCTAGAGCATCGCAGAGAGCTTTTAAATTACACTGCAATGAAAACCAGAGTTAAACATTACAACAGCTAATGTATAAAGAAAATACAATTTAGTAATATCATGAGCAAAGCAGACTAGCTTGCCAGGGATACAATGGGAAACATTCCATCTTGTTTAGGTACACCTCCATGGCTACGTAGGAAAGAAAATCCAGAGTCTTCCTATTCTGGAGACTCACGGCATTGTCACAGGGTATCCTGCATTACCCAAGAGGTCTGCACCAAGTGCAAGGTAACGTAGCTTCTCTTTAACCTTCCCTCGCTGCAGACCAAGCCAACGTGCATCATCCCGCATTCACTGCAGGCTAACAACATGCATATGTGGAATAACGACAGTTCAGCTAAACATACAGTAACCTGAAACACTAAAAAGTGAATGACTTCAGAGGAAATGTACCTTGAACTCCTGAAAGAATAAGTAAGAGCCTTTACTCCAACAGGAATACCTTTCCTTTCCATACATTCAATCTAGCTAATGAACACAAACATAGGCAAAAATTCTTTTGGAACCACAGACTGCTAGAACATTACCACTACCTAGACGCCAGCCACTGCCACTCCACAGGAGGTTATGGCTTCCCACAGCGGTGCTGGTGGAAAGGATCAAAAGAGCTCCCCATAATCCACGCCAAACCAAAGCCTGACAGAGATCTGAGCCAATGGGGGTAACCTGGCTGCCTGCCCGAACGAGGGCTCACGTGATTCTTTGTGACAGACCTGCTGCAGAAGCAGCAACTTCAGCCTGGCAATGCCCTAACATGTCGCTACTAACACTAGCTCTGTGAGAGATTACCCGTCTGTATCCTCCACGGAGAAATAGCCATCGGAAGGACCCAAAGCAGCAACGTTTAGCCTCAATGCAAACATCAGCTGTCTGCGCTGCATCTTCAATCAGGGAAAGTAAAGTCAATATGCTACAAACAGCTTTCTACTCAGTAACTTGCGTTTATAAATGGGGGATTTCCAGAATCATTAGACTTAAACCCACTATCACAATCATCAGACTTAAATCAAACCGATTACTTCTGTGTGTCTTACGCTTACAAAGATCAATTGAAAACATACTATATTTATGGATGAACTATCTGCCACACAAATCCTTTTATATATACATTTCTGACAGCAAAGCAACAATATTTATTTTCATTTGGCATCTGCCAGATATAGTTACTACCCTTGACTATCAAAACGTAACCATACAGCTACATATAATGCTAAATCTAATTCCTCGCCCCCCCCCCCCCCAAACACATACCTGAGTCGCAAGATCTTTTGGTTGGTGTGGTTAACGAGGCGTGAGCTGTACCTGTGCATGGCCCACCTGGAAACAGAGAAGATCATATGTCTCAAAATACCACCTCTAGTTAACATTTACAACCACATCAAGATTATACTTAGGAATATAAAACGCTGAGGAGCACTTGTCTTTGGAAAGCACAGATGGAAGTAGTCTATTATTCTCAGTATTTCTTTCCCAGTCAAATTTGAGTATGTCTTGCGCTGAAAAAATAGACGAGAAGTTGGGACAGAAAGACAAGTTATGTTATACTTCATAAATATTTCAAGAAGCAGGAAAATACACACTGTAACTGCAATTTTCCCAGCGTTGACAATGACACTGTTTATGTTGGAACAAATCTAGAAACGTTTCTAACCCGCAAGTAACACAACAGACGAAGTGATCACTTCCCCAACGTCAACAGAAACCTTGCCACTGACTCCAGTGAGATAACGACTTGGCCTCTTATCTTGTCCTCGTTATCTTTCAAAGCGTGGCACAAGCATACGCTAACAAACTCCCTCCATGTTTAAGGTTTTTTTGTTGAACTCTGGACTTTTGCCCACTCCAGTATCTGCTTTGTAGTAAACTGCTTTCTGGTTTTTTCCTTAACATGCATCATCGTTCTCCAGAGATCTTGTTAAAATAGCAGCCAATTGAGTGTACCAGCAGCTAGCAGTAAAAATACATACATACATACATACATACACACCCCACGTAGTGAAGCCAAGACAAATTGACAGTAGCATTACCAGTGGCAATAACACATCATAGCTTTGATAATTGGATATTACAAATTGGATGATGCTAGAGAGCCTGAAATTAAGTTAGATCTAGCAGAGTTTGGCTATCAAAATACCAATAATCAAGTTTGCACTGGACTGCTGGCGATGCAGTAGTACTATGCTGGCAATACAAGAGAGCTTAGTATGACAGGATAACCTTTAACATAAGTCTTCACGTCCTGAAAAATACTTCTTCCCTTCATTTTTTTTCAGTCTTTGCATATCTGGAAAGCAGCACTGTGGCTTTGAAAATATTAGAAAAGAGAAAAACATTGTCAAGTCTGGCCTGGTAGTAAACTGTTTCTTTTTGCTTCTCTCCGAGATGCTTGCCCTTCAAGTTTTTCTTTCATTTCTGTTTGTTCAGTATGTATAAAGTCTTGGGTAACTTTGTCTACCCTGTAAGACCCATAGCATCGTAACGCTACAAAAACAGAAAAGAAACTTCTGCAACTGGGAGGGAAAGACGTGAGGAAATTATTTTGGTGAACTGGATTTCAGTGAAATGCAGCTGTCAGTAAAGATCTCACAAGTTTTACGCTTTCAGTTTTCCAGACAAGGACTGATAAACTTCTTGAGTCTTCTCCCAAATAATCCCTCTGCCAACACCCACCACTTCATAACTGTGCAACGGGTAAGCTTTAAAGGGGTGCTTTCAAAGGCCGAGGAGCCAGCGGTTGGCCTGCAGGCGAACACCGAGGCCGCTCATTAGGGCCTGGCCTGAGGTTAAGCGAAGTGAACAGGACGTGGGAAACCACCAACACGACGTAAGACACGTCTGCGTGGGACAGGCAACAGCCCGAGCTGCTGGCAGACAGCGCTGCAAGGGATCCTGCAGGCCGGTCAGGAGGGAGCTGGTGAGAAATGGTTGAACTGGACAGGTAAGCGGAGGGGAGCAGCGTGGACCTCTCAGCAGTCAAGTCTGCCCACGAGAAGAGCCAAGCTTGCTTTTGCAACGAGGAGGACTGGAAGGCACGGGGTGGATGCCTTCCCGGCCAACAGGAAAGCATCCCGGGTGGAGGGATCATCCTGGTCTCACCACGCTGGTGCCCGCTCCAGGCCTGGCAGCACTGGCAAGCAACAACCGCTTTGCAACAACCAGAAATGGTCAAGTAAGCTCAAATAAATTTTTACGACATATCTTTTTCTAGGCTAGAATACAAAGCCAGAAATAGAATCTTGATCTACGTTAGTAATGCTGTTGTAAAAGGCTCACAAATGCCTAGTCTAGGGTTCAGTGCATTTGGGAAGAAAATACTGCAACAGAACCCTTACCAACTTTTCTACTGAAACCTTTTGGATATTCAAAAAATTACACAGCAGGTCTGTTAAGTCAGTCTCGACTTTTAAAGACCAAGTACATAGTATATGGTTTCAATACAGAATTTATGTAAACAATACATACAACAGGATATGGAATATATCAAAATACATACAATGGAGTACGGAATTTCAGCGAACTGACTTTAGACCATAGCTGCCTCTTCAGATGCAGTAGCTCTTCTTTAAATCACTTTAGTTACATTCCCTGAGTTTTCACTGAATAGATATTGACAAGCATCATCACTGCTGAGCATCAAATAAGTCTAATCCTTGCAATTATTGTACAGTAAATATTTACACTACTTGGTACTTTCAGTACCCATCTAAACACAAGATCTTTATTTCTCACTCTCCACAGTACCTCAAGCTGGTATGTATTCTGCACTTGCCTGTGTCAGAGGTTTTCTTTTATTTAATCTTCCCTCATTAGGTATTACTTTCATATAGCTTTGATTTGTGTAGCACAGCACCAGAATTTCAACAAAGAATATCTTGGCATTTGCATGCATGTACACCAGTGCCTAATAACCAGCAAAGGCGGTGTCTCCTTCCGCTCCTGGTTTTGTCCCACGATTAAAACCGCCATGCATAATTCAATCCTATGTGGTATGGGCTTGACTGTGCAACTCTACGTGGAAGTCATTATGTAGAACCTCTTGATACACAGAAATACAGGCATCGTTGCATTATTTGAAGCAGGGCAGTGTAGTTCCCACAGCTCTGATAACAATTCTGCACGAAAGACGAGGGAAGTCAGATACCAGGAGAACACCAGTCCTCCCTGGCTGTACACAAAGGTAGGCTCATAATTTAGCTTGATTCAGGATACATCTGCACCTTCATTCCCCCCAAAAGCAAGCGTTTCAAGGGAATTTAACTGTGGCACATAAAACGCTTCAGTGCACAGTGAAAGGCCACACATGTCCAGCTTCTAACATAACCCACAGGGCTGTAGCCTGCTATTTTTTTTTCTCATCATAAACAAGAGATTAAAATGGGAGAATAAAGGTATCTTTCTACTCTATCTCCAATTAACAGATTAAATAATAGCTTCTGTTCCTATCTTCTTTCCAGTGTATGGTTTCTGGCCTTTGCAACTCCTCTTCCAAACAAAAGCAGCCACTGCCCAGCAATAATGTCATCCCAAGAGAAGATGATTAAAAATGTAAACCCACTAAAAACTACTGAAGAAATCAGCAGGATTGTGAGAATCACCAAGTTTGAAAATTCAAACACAGAATTAATAAAGGACAAACCAAGGTCCTTTAACGTGAACATTATTATATATTAAAACGAAAGGTCTCGTTAATGTAGCTGCGATGGCTTCTTTGTGGCTTCTGACAGCCCTAGCTTTCTGTAACTCACTGTTAACTGTACTCTAAATATAGCAATTTGGAAAAACAGGTTCAAAACCAGTTAGCTCCACTAACCCTCAACAGTAGTAAAATTTCATGTATTATTTATATTTCTATATATACGTTAACATTGTTATTATTTACTATTACAGACTATTATAATTTCTATACAATTAAATTGACCTTTAGAATGCCTTTCGGCACTGTCCACCTCCCTTCCTGAACGACGGCAACAACTGCCAAGTACCAGCTGTCCTGCAGGACGTACCCTGAGTCAGGGTAACTTCTGATTTCCCCTTCCTGAAGCCTTTGTAAAGCAAAGTGACCCCACGCAGTCAGAACTTCCTGAGCAGGAAAAATGAAACACGAGGGTAACCCCCCCCCTCGCTGCCCGGGGCAGCGCTAGGTTTGAACGCAGCGTACGTGCGTGAGGTGTACCTGAACGGCACTTGGAAGCACTTGCTGAGCAGAGGAAGAGCTGCAGAACGGAGCGAAACCAAGCCTCTACAAGAGTACAGTAACACACTGAAACAACCACGGACTACACAAACTGCAAGCCAGACAATGAACAAACATGAGAAAGGAGTGAAGGAGCCCGAAGCTCAGTAACACCTGATCACAGAGACATAAGCACGCTCAAATACTACTTCGAGCTTTCAGTACCGGGATGGTTCCTTCCCAGAAAAGAGCACACCAACTCCCTGCACGCCACGGACTGGAAGAGGGGAATAAGAAAGAGCTGAATTTCCTCGGACAGCAGGGTTGTAGCCAGGACAGGGGGAATGTCACAGCTATTTGCAATACAGGAAAGCACCCAGCCTTGGAAACCCGTCCAAACCAGCAACCTAGTTCTGCATTTCCTGAACAGGTACAGACATAGTCTAATTAATCTATGCAACTGAGTTTGAAAACAGTCATTGATTACAAACACCAACACATAAAAAAATGGCAACATAAATCTCTAAATTCAGTCTGCACAGACAGAACACGCTCCCTTTAAGGGAAAAAAAAAAAGGCAAAAGAACTTTAGAGCACTTACAAACTGCCTATTTGCTGCAGAACGGATAGGCTGCATGATAATGTAAGCGATGTCATTACTAAACAGACAAGAGGATTAAATCACATACAAACACAAACTTTTTAAAAATCTAGTTTTGCAAATCTGCCATTATTTACTTTTGTGGATTTTTATCTACGTGCAGCTTTTGGAGGAGGAAGCGAAACCTGGCCTGCTTTGCTGCTGCTGAACGGCTGGTAAAGTTAACAACTGTAGTGAAGTAAATGCAGACAGGATTCAGATTGCACTTTTCTCCCCTGCTGTTGTCTCACTCCATTACCTGCTTTTCCTCAGTTCCTCATTTGTAAAACACACGTGATATTTTCCTATTTTATAGATATATGTTGAAGTGTAAAAATGTGCTTTTGAAACCAGCAGTTAAATCATATTTTTATAAATAATTTTTATCTAAATTATGATGGCTGTGCAGCTCCAACCCACATTTTTCTTATGTGACTGTGTTTCTGTTTCACGTTCCATGGGGTCCTTTCACTTTAATAAATGGGACCCTGGGACACACTGTCT